GCATCTGGGGAAAAAAGAGGAAAACAAGATGGAGGGGAAAGCAGGAAGGTTATTCCAGGAAAGCCGTAGCTATGTGTATCTCCACAACCTAGCCAAAACAAAGGAGAATTATTATCATTTGTGTTAAACCTAGGTAAAGGTTCCCCTCGCACATATGTGCTAGTGGTTCCTGACTCTAGGGGGCGGTGCTCATCTCCATTTCAAATTCGAAGAGCCAGCACTGTCTGAAGACGTCTCTGTGGTGATATGGCCAGCATGACTAAACGCTGAAGGTGCACGGAACGCTGTTACCTTCCCACCAAAGGTGGCTCCTATTTTTCTACTTGCTTTCGAACTGCTAGGTTGGCAGAAGCTGGGACAGGTAATGGGAGCTCACCTCGTTACTTGGTGCTAGGGATTCAAACCGACGAACTGCTGATCTTTCTGATCGACAAGCTCAGCGTCTTAGCCATTGAGCCACTATGTCCCTGAGTTATTATCACTGAGGTTCCCCTCACACATATGCACTAGGCCTTCCTGACTCTAGGGGGCGGTGTTCATCTCCATTTCAAATTCGAAGAGCCAGCACTGTCTGAAGACGTCTCCATAGTCATGTAGCCGGCATGACTAAATGCTGAAGGTGCACGGAACGCGTTTACCTTCCCACCAAAGGTGGTTCCTATTTTTCTACTTGCATTTTTTATATGCTTTCGAACTGCTAGGTTGGCAGAAGCTGGGGCGAGTAAGGGGATCTCACTCCATTATATGGTGCTAGGGATTCGAACCATCAAACTTCTGACCCTCCACAAGCTCAGCGTCTTAGCCACTGAGCCACCGCGTCCCTATTAAACCTATGTAGCAGAGCCCAAATGACCTTGGCTGATATAAATAAAATCTGAACAAAACCAATCTGATTACTCTGAACCAGGGCCTTATCAGGAAACCTCATAGCTATCAGCTCGATCGGAAAGTCAAAGAAATATCAACAACACTCCCATCATTTTTCAGATTCTCTGCCCCTCTCTTTCACACACACACAGCTTCAATGAACCAATTGCTCCCTCAAGGGATAGTAGTAAAGGAAGATCCAGCAACTTTCCCAGAGATCTTCAAAAATTTGACGAATTAAAATAATGTGTAAATCTGTTTTCAACCACTAGGGGGAACCCCCCTCCCCGTTGCTATTATTAAAGAGTCCCCCCCCCCCGTCCCGTCCCCCCCCACAATTGTGGAAAAGCAAAGATAAGGCAGGCGGCAGTCTCATGCCCTCCAGATGTTTTGGACTATGCCTATCATAAATTTTCAGTTTTGGTTTTGCAGCTTGCAACCCCTGATGGGAAATGCTATCCAAAAACATGTTAAGAACATCTGGTTTCCCAACCAGACAGCTGAAAGTTTTTTGTTGGCCTTCAGGTGTGTTGGGATATCCCTAAGCAAATGGGCCATATGGTAATTCTGCAATAAAAGCACTGCTGTTCCATGCATCCCATCCTCCCAACTGTATTATGTCAGTAGAATAAGTGGATTCTCTTAAAATAGTCCGGTGCCCATTTAAGATATTAGAGGGCCAGGAAGAATAGACCACCCTGAATCAACCAAGGGTGTAGCCTAAAGGCTTGTCTTTCAGTCAGTAAGGATCACCCCATTCTCATGGGTTTGTGCACACACTGAACTATTAAATGAGCAAGTGAGCTGACTTCATGCAAGCTGCTAGCCAAAAGGCCTAAATTTAACCTCTTAGTATACTATGCCAAATTGTTAGATCTGTAACAGCCGGTTAACAATTGTAGGAATACAGCCAGTGTAAGATAATCTGGTGGCTTCCAGATGTGTTAAGAATGCAACTCCCACAGCCACTGTGATCTTTAGAATATCTGGAGGGCACAAGCCTGGGGACAAGTGCTGTAAGATACACTATATTGCCAAACGTATTCGCTCACCCATCCACATAAGCAGAAGCAGTTGTGAGCGAATATTTTTGGCAATATAGTGTATATATTATTTCCATGCACTGCTGTGGGAAGTCTCCCTGATGTTCTCTCTCTTCCTAGGGTGCCCAAGGGATGAGCCACTGCTCAAGCACATGAATGCTAACGGGTTGATCTATTTCTATTCAGCTGGTGTGTGTGTGTGTGTGTGTGTGTGTGTGTGTGTGTGTGAACTCTGACCTTATCCTTTGTTGCCCTAGGAATCTGCATCTGCCATTCACTTAAAAAGCCAAAAGGAAGCAACTTATGCGGAAGGAGGAGACAACTGATGGCCAAGCCGCCACCCCACCGAAGGAGGGTAAAACTGGCTGGGAATAATGGGACACCTATAGTCAAACACCTCCAGAGAGAACCAGATTGGGAGAATCTGAATTAAGGCAACTAATTTAAGCAAGGTGGTGGGCCTTTGCATAGGCATAGCCGCATATATTAGAGCCGTGATGGCGCAATGGTTAGAATGCAGTATTCAGGACTGCTAGCAGTTCGATCCTGACTGGCTCAAGCTTGATTCAGCCTCCCATCCTTCCGAGATTGGTAAAATGAGGACCCAGATNGTGTGTGTGTGTGTGTGTGTGTGTGTTAAACATCTGAATTAGCCAAACAAGCACCTGCAGGAAGGAGCATGGCTATAGACGTTAATAGCACAGAAGTTAAACAGATCTAATCCTTCAGGTTTGTTTTGGCAGAAATCAGATTCCTGCGCCTGCCAATATTCCTTCAGATCCCATAAACATCTAAAAGCATGTGGCTCTTACTTCTCCCTAACAACAAATGAATCCCAGTTCAGATATGAAAATAGAGGGGATTCAGTTATTTTCTGTTAAGAAAACATGGGGCAGGCAGTTTGGGGAGTCGGTGTCCCTAAAGACTTCTAAAGTGGGACTCTTCCTTCCTTGACCCTCGGATTGTCTTAAGAGAGGGGAGCCTGCCAGTTATCTTATTTCAATTCCAATGGTCTTGTCAATGTGTAGCAATGACATATACACACAGAGAGACACAGACACACAAACACATTTAACTCAAGTACAAACACATCCTGAGATCCATAACTTTAGTTTTGTTTTTTGTTTTTTGCATTTTCTTGATCTTCACTCGGATTGGTGAAGAAAGCCAAGCTCACGAAGGTACCTTTGGCTTTTTCTTCCAATTTCACAAAACTGATTAAGAAAGGGATTCCTTAGATTCCCCACCCACTAAAAGGAGAAAAAGGGTTTCCCCCTTCCACTCAAGTTTTTGCCTTTGCTAAAGATAAAAGCTGCTGCTCTCCTGCCCAGTGCTTGTTCACTCATAGCTTGGAGCCAATGCTGTTCTCTGCTCCCATTTTGGCTGACTTGATGCCCTGAAGCCGGTCAACTGGGCAGATTTCCTACTGATTTCCAGAGATCATTCCCTGGTTTCAGGAAGAAAGGGTGAGCTGTGCATTTCTTCCTCCTCCCGGAAGTACGTGGGCTTTCCCTGAGAACTGGGCGACTGCTGCGTTTTGATTGGACAGTTGGCCACCATGTGGGCAATGCTTTGGCAGAAGTGGCATTTCTTAGGCTGCGGAGGGAGCTTGCATTCTTTGGCATGATGATCCAGGCCACCACAGTTGTAGCATCTGGGGAAAAAAGAGGAAAACAAGATGGAGGGGAAAGCAGGAAGGTTATTCCAGGAAAGCCGTAGCTATGTGTATCTCCACAACCTAGCCAAAACAAAGGAGAATTATTATCATTTGTGTTAAACCTAGGTAAAGGTTCCCCTCGCACATATGTGCTAGTGGTTCCTGACTCTAGGGGGCGGTGCTCATCTCCATTTCAAATTCGAAGAGCCAGCACTGTCTGAAGACGTCTCTGTGGTGATATGGCCAGCATGACTAAACGCTGAAGGTGCACGGAACGCTGTTACCTTCCCACCAAAGGTGGCTCCTATTTTTCTACTTGCTTTCGAACTGCTAGGTTGGCAGAAGCTGGGACAGGTAATGGGAGCTCACCTCGTTACTTGGTGCTAGGGATTCAAACCGACGAACTGCTGATCTTTCTGATCGACAAGCTCAGCGTCTTAGCCATTGAGCCACTATGTCCCTGAGTTATTATCACTGAGGTTCCCCTCACACATATGCACTAGGCCTTCCTGACTCTAGGGGGCGGTGTTCATCTCCATTTCAAATTCGAAGAGCCAGCACTGTCTGAAGACGTCTCCATAGTCATGTAGCCGGCATGACTAAATGCTGAAGGTGCACGGAACGCGTTTACCTTCCCACCAAAGGTGGTTCCTATTTTTCTACTTGCATTTTTTATATGCTTTCGAACTGCTAGGTTGGCAGAAGCTGGGGCGAGTAAGGGGATCTCACTCCATTATATGGTGCTAGGGATTCGAACCATCAAACTTCTGACCCTCCACAAGCTCAGCGTCTTAGCCACTGAGCCACCGCGTCCCTATTAAACCTATGTAGCAGAGCCCAAATGACCTTGGCTGATATAAATAAAATCTGAACAAAACCAATCTGATTACTCTGAACCAGGGCCTTATCAGGAAACCTCATAGCTATCAGCTCGATCGGAAAGTCAAAGAAATATCAACAACACTCCCATCATTTTTCAGATTCTCTGCCCCTCTCTTTCACACACACACAGCTTCAATGAACCAATTGCTCCCTCAAGGGATAGTAGTAAAGGAAGATCCAGCAACTTTCCCAGAGATCTTCAAAAATTTGACGAATTAAAATAATGTGTAAATCTGTTTTCAACCACTAGGGGGAACCCCCCTCCCCGTTGCTATTATTAAAGAGTCCCCCCCCCCCCGTCCCGTCCCCCCCCACAATTGTGGAAAAGCAAAGATAAGGCAGGCGGCAGTCTCATGCCCTCCAGATGTTTTGGACTATGCCTATCATAAATTTTCAGTTTTGGTTTTGCAGCTTGCAACCCCTGATGGGAAATGCTATCCAAAAACATGTTAAGAACATCTGGTTTCCCAACCAGACAGCTGAAAGTTTTTTGTTGGCCTTCAGGTGTGTTGGGATATCCCTAAGCAAATGGGCCATATGGTAATTCTGCAATAAAAGCACTGCTGTTCCATGCATCCCATCCTCCCAACTGTATTATGTCAGTAGAATAAGTGGATTCTCTTAAAATAGTCCGGTGCCCATTTAAGATATTAGAGGGCCAGGAAGAATAGACCACCCTGAATCAACCAAGGGTGTAGCCTAAAGGCTTGTCTTTCAGTCAGTAAGGATCACCCCATTCTCATGGGTTTGTGCACACACTGAACTATTAAATGAGCAAGTGAGCTGACTTCATGCAAGCTGCTAGCCAAAAGGCCTAAATTTAACCTCTTAGTATACTATGCCAAATTGTTAGATCTGTAACAGCCGGTTAACAATTGTAGGAATACAGCCAGTGTAAGATAATCTGGTGGCTTCCAGATGTGTTAAGAATGCAACTCCCACAGCCACTGTGATCTTTAGAATATCTGGAGGGCACAAGCCTGGGGACAAGTGCTGTAAGATACACTATATTGCCAAACGTATTCGCTCACCCATCCACATAAGCAGAAGCAGTTGTGAGCGAATATTTTTGGCAATATAGTGTATATATTATTTCCATGCACTGCTGTGGGAAGTCTCCCTGATGTTCTCTCTCTTCCTAGGGTGCCCAAGGGATGAGCCACTGCTCAAGCACATGAATGCTAACGGGTTGATCTATTTCTATTCAGCTGGTGTGTGTGTGTGTGTGTGTGTGTGTGTGTGTGTGTGTGAACTCTGACCTTATCCTTTGTTGCCCTAGGAATCTGCATCTGCCATTCACTTAAAAAGCCAAAAGGAAGCAACTTATGCGGAAGGAGGAGACAACTGATGGCCAAGCCGCCACCCCACCGAAGGAGGGTAAAACTGGCTGGGAATAATGGGACACCTATAGTCAAACACCTCCAGAGAGAACCAGATTGGGAGAATCTGAATTAAGGCAACTAATTTAAGCAAGGTGGTGGGCCTTTGCATAGGCATAGCCGCATATATTAGAGCCGTGATGGCGCAATGGTTAGAATGCAGTATTCAGGACTGCTAGCAGTTCGATCCTGACTGGCTCAAGCTTGATTCAGCCTCCCATCCTTCCGAGATTGGTAAAATGAGGACCCAGATTGTTGGGGACAGTATGCTGACTCTGTAAACCGCTTAGAGGGGGCTGTAAAAGCACTGTGAAGCGGTATATAAATCTAAGTGCAATAGTATTTCCCCCCTCCTTTCCTTGGTCCTGGTGGCGCAGTGGTTAGAATGCAGTGTTGCAGGGAAATTCTGCCCAGACTGGAGTTCGATCCTGACTGCCTCAAGGTTGACTCAGCCTTCCATCCTTCTGAGATCGGTAAAATGAAGAGCCAGATTTTGGGGGGAAATATGCTCACTCTGAAAACCGCTTAGAGGGCTGTAAAGCCCTCTAAAGCGGTATATAAGTCTAAGTGCTATTGCTATCATGCTGGATCTGAAAGTGAAAAAAAGGGGTTCCAGAGGGCAGGGCAACACATTCAGAGCACTGTCTACCACTCCTTTGAAACAGTGTTTGGCACTCTAAGAAACAGATGATTCAAACAACCAATTAAGCAAACCAATCAGCTTCTCAGAATTTAAATGTAGCTCCAAACGAACAACCAATCAGACTGGCACACAAGACATTTATAAGCTAAGGAGAATAGGAGAAGAAAATTCTGCTGATGTTACCTAGTTTGGTAATGAAACATTCAGAAACTAAATTAAAACAAGCTTGGGGAGCAAACCACTGCCAAAATCTAAAACCCGAGCTACAAGTATTTTCTATTATTATAAACATCTCTTCTCCCAGGCCTGCACTGGCGTGCCTACATGTCTATTTGCCATTCCCATCATGCCAGAAAACATCTGGCAACTGAAATTACTTATTTGATTTTTATCCTGCCTTTATTTTCATAATAACTCAACGTTACAGTGAACATACTTAATGATCCTCCCTTATTATTTTCCTCATAACAATCAAGTGAACGGAGTTGGACTGAGAAAGGGTAACTGGCCCAAAATCACCCAGTCAGCTGTCATGGTTAAGGAAGGACTAGAACTCAGGCTCCTGGTTCCTAAACCAGCATCTTAACCACTAGGCCAACAGGCCCATTGTCTTATTGTTATCATTATCTTGGTGAGAATGTCAGATGTCAATATTTCTTCCTATTAACATTAAACAAATTTCTAGCTCTCGTGATGATGGTGAAAAATGAACATCACTGGAAACTTTAGAAAGCCAAGCAAGGTTTTATTGTTATTAGCTATCTTGAGTCCTCTATGGGTGAGACAGAATAAAGTAATGAAATAAATAAAGAATGCCCGGATTTGCATAATATGCCAAACTGCTGGAAAGAAAGGGGGGGAAAATCACACATCTTTTATAACTTGTTTCCCTGAAAATAAGACCTCCCCAGATAATAAGCCCAATCGGGCTTTTGAGCGCATGCGCTAAAATAAGCCCTCCCCAAAAATATTTAAGCACATGTGCAGCCGGTTCCCACCATTTCCTCTGGTTGCTTGCCGTGCAAACATGAGGTGAAGAGGCAAGGCTGGAGGGGGGGAAGGGAGGGGGGAAGCATGCCTCATGCACCCCACACACCCTTACCTAACAGCCACTCCCACAACCCTAGCCATTGTGCCCCTTCTTTGACGCTAATGGCCACCGCAAAAAGAGTGGCAGGCCCAGCGATGTTCCTTGCTGCTGCAGCAGCGCAGCAGCAGCTATGAGATGACCACGTTTGCCACCTCCTGCACCTCAAAAATAATAAAACCTCCCCCAAAATAAAGCCAGGCACTTATTTCGGGGGTGAAAAAATAAGACCCTGTCCTATTTTCAGGGAAATACAGTAGATTATGTGGAGGAGAATTCCAAACTTAATTTGACTGTTGTTGTTTTTTCTCCATCCAAAAAACAACACCCTCACAAAACCGATTTATCTATTTCTATACTTCCAATACACAGAATATCCTTTGCTTTTCCAAGCTTTGACATTTTGTTGTAAGTCAAGAGGTTTCCGGACTCGCTGAACAAGTCCCTGAACGAAGCCTTACCGATCTCCTTTCGACCTGCGTTTCTGAAGATTTTTTCCCTTCGGTCTCCTTTCGCTGCCAATGCAGAAAACTCCTCCAGGGCCAGTGACTCGGATGGACTCCAAACCTTTAGAGGATTTCTTGAAAGTGAATTCAACTGCTTCTCCTTCTTTCAAACTGCGGAAACCTTCCATGTGGAGCTTGCTCTGGAGCCCAGAAAAAGAGTGGGAAGAGCAGTTTAGCAATGAAGAGGAAATTATAAAATACAGACAAAGCAAGGCAGAGAATGATCAGATAAAGTCAATCATGCATTTTCACTGAACAAAAGTGATGCACATATTCACCCACAAATTTGCAATAGGTGTTTGATTTAACTACCATAACTAAAGTTTTCGATCACTTGCAAAGGCAGCTCCATTTATCATGGACTGGAATAAGACTGCCATAAAATACAACTTACAAAGCTTTCTCTGCCCAGAAAGGAACACAGTTGGCATTGCTGACCTACTTACTTTTATGCATTTTCATATTGATTGTGTTATTTATTGATGTATTTTCATTAATACATCTGATCACAGAATGTTTAATTTTGAACTCAGAACACTCCAAGGACTATTTTGGGTTAATGTAGGAAACAACCCAGAACTCTGAAAGACCAATAACAACCCTCAAAACAACAGTCTTCTAATATCAATGTACACAACCAACTATGAGAACTATGTAGCTATATATGCCGCTCCTTGAATTTCTGAATCAAGTCAATTTCTATTTCAAAACATTCTCTGAAAGCAAACCGAAACAGACCAAGGAATGTCCAATCCATTCCACACTGTCATGAACCAAAACTTACCTTTCTCAAAATATAACCTCAATTCAGAAATTTCTCTCCATGCTACAAATGCATCCTTATGCCTTTGTTCAGGGGTCAAGTTGATAGCCCAATCCAGTACATGCCTATTGAAAAGCAGCTGCCATTGCACTATAGGTTATTAAATAATATAATTAAAGGGATGGATGGAAGGAACCAAGATGCTCTCTAACCCAAATGTTTTGGCAACTTGAAAATATTGCACTTCAGTTCCTAGAATTCCCCTCCACCAGATGGCTGCCTGCCTGGGGAATTCTGGGAGTTAAAGCCCACACATCTTCAAGTTTTAGGGCTGAGAAACACTGATTCAGCCTAACCTTTCTAAAATGAAGGAATCCACAACAGTACCAATAACAGATGACTATCCAGACCCTGATTAAACAGCTCTAGTGAAAAAGGAACCACCACTAAAGGAATCCATTGATGAGCACTTGTATTATAAGCAATTGTTCCTGCCATCCAACCAAACTCTATTTCCTTTTAATTTAAACACATTATTTGTTGTGATTCTGCATCAACTCTTCAGAAATTCTCCCCTATCGTCTACATAACAGCTTTTCAGATAGTCAAAGACACTGACTTAACCTTCCTGTAGTCTTCCCTTCTCCTGGCTAAACATACCCAACACCTCTCCCCATGCCTCTGAAGTTCTCCCTTCCAGGAACCCCTTATCAGCTTGGCTGTTCTTCTCTAGACATGTTCCACTTTGTCAACATCTTCCCTAAAAAGCATTGCCCCAAGATGGATGCAATAGCCTAGGAACAGTTTGACCCACACTGGAGAGGAACTCAATGGTGCTTAACTCCACAAAATTAGTCATAGGACTGCAGTTAAAATCTTTTCATTTTTCATAGAGGGTGAGAGATTATAATCCCTACCCCACTGAACTGAACCCCAGTCTCCAAAGGAAACCCACAGTAGTGCTAGTACTATTTGGTCAGTTTCTGTCATCACCTCCCCACTGTGATCCTTATCTCCCCTCTCTATATCCCCCTCAAAGCCCCTCTAGGTTTTCAGCTTTGGATTCAAGGCAAAAAGGCTTTGAAACATAAGGGGGTGCCCATGGAGAACTGTCAGCAACTCCTTCACAAGCAGCCAACACTTGATACTCAGGATTCAGAAGGATCTTGACCGAAGTTGTGTATTGAGCCCTAGCCAACAAGATGCAGGTCAATAGCTGAGAAAAGTAAGGACCAGCAGTTAGGGAAGAAAAACCAAATGCATAAGTATAGAATAGGACAGTGATGGCGAATCTTTTCGGCACCCAAACCAGAATGTATGTGCATGTATGTGCATGCCAGAGCACTGGGAACCAGACCACCAGCTGGCTGGCACACACATGCCTGTTTTCGGGCTGTTTTGGGGGCCATTTAGGGGCATTTTAGGCCATTTTCCGGCATTCCAGTGCCTGCAAAGACCAGTGTGCCGGAAATCAGAAGACCAGCGGCGACAGTGCATGTGCCCATAGAGAGGGCTCTGCGTGCCATCTCTGGCACGCGTGCCATAGGTTCACCACCACAGGAATAGGAGATACCTGGATGAACTAAGTGATAGATCTAGGTTTCCTGGTGGACTACCACTTAAGTCTGAATCAGTAATGTGCTGCACCTGCCTTAAAAAGCCAATGCAATTCAGGGCTGCCTCAACAGAGGGACAATACCAAAATCATGCAAAGTGACAATACTGCTTTATACTGCACTGGTGAGGCCCCACTTGGAATACTGCATGCAGTTCTGGCCTCCATAATATAGAAAAGATGCTGAATCTAGAAAGTGTGCAGCATAGAACAACAAAGGGGATAATTTGACCTGGAGGATAAATTATATGAGGAACAGTTAAGGGAATATCGAAGGAAGGATTAGAGGTGAGATGGTGGCTGTCTTCCAATAATTGAGGGGCTGTTCCAGAAAAGGGGGTTGACTTATTCAGCAAGGCAGTGGCCCCTAAGATTGGGCATCTGTTTGATCGGGACAGTATATATGTCTCCTGCATTGAGCAGGGGGTTGGACTAGATGACCTCCGAGGTCCCTTCCAGTCCTACTATGATTCTATGGCTCTATGCTGCATTTTCCCCTCTGCTGCTTCAGCACAATTCTGGAAAATATTTGACGTCAAGAGTTGCAGATCAGTGCTACCTAGAGGTCTCTGTGTTTTTGGAATCACTTTTTTTTGCTTTTAAAAGCTCTGCATGGCACTTTTATTCAGATTTTATTAAAACAGTCAATAAGGTCATTCTCTCAGCCTTATGGTGATTACTCAGGAGTAATTCTGATTTGATGTAAAAACACATCTGCAGAACCCGAAACAATCAGAAACAGTATGGATGTCCATAGACTCTAACCAATTAAAACGTAATCAGCTTGATTGGAAGCCTCCTTATTTGTTTGAACCACAGTTCAGGTCTCTAAAGGCCATCTCCTAACACATTTCCTAATTCATTCTCAGCTATAAGAATAGATCAATTATTGTTCTGTCGTCCCAGGAGCTCCGAGAAGGCCACTCTGAGGCCTTCTTCCCTCACCTCATCCATTTTTGGAAGCTTTTTCCCTAAACTACTTGTTTCATTTCTAAATTCCACAACCATTTCATCTCAATTTTTACAAAGAAATATTTACTTATGTATGTTTTTGTGCTGGTCAAATATGAAAGTAAAACGATTAAATCAAGAGCTAGTTTGTCATACAAATTTGATCACTGATATAATGAATTCCTGTGTTATGGGTTTTTTTCTTGTTGTTCATTGCCCAGAGTTTCATTAGTAGATAAGCAATTATATACATTTGCAAAATTTTAAAAAAAAGCTGCTACATCTTTTCCAACATTTTTAGGTAGAAATAATGACCAATGCATAGTGACAAAAAATGACAATGATTTTCCTGGAATTGATCCTCCTCTCAGTTAGTAAGAATTGACAAGCAAAAAAAAAAGTAACTTCAACTTCAGCTGACTTGTATCAGTTAACAAATTCATAAAATAATGAATAATAATAAAGTAACTTCCATTTAGAAACCCCCTTCATATAATCAATCCCGAGAAAAGGTAGGGGATCCCTATATATAGTACATAATGTTAACTATGGACACTTTTTCCCAAATGCCATCACTCTGCTAAACAACTAATCCCCACCACACTGTCATATTACCTACTAAGACTCTATTACTATTCTTCTTCACATCCTTCCTAGTACCTATCTCTTCCCACTTATGACTATAACCACATTGCTTGTATTTTTCAATTTATATTGTTTTTATTTGTTTCCTAGTACGATTTGACAGCTTATTAGTAACCTATGACTATCACTAAGGGTTGTATCTTATCATTCTTTCCTCCCCAATATTAAGTATAGCACCCTAGGCCAGTTATGCAAATTATCTTACATTATTCCACATCACACCTTACCCCAGGGAGTAAAGCTCATAGTTTAATAGAAACCATATGCTTGGCATGCCCCAAATCCATATTTAAAGTCCAGCTCTTGTTTTAAAAGAAGTAGATAGTCCACAGTTTGAAAACCTTCTGCTCTCCGGGCTGTGTTTTAACCCAGGGTCATTTTTTTTTTTGCAGAAAGTTGAATTAAACCAGGAGATTTGCCACCCCCAATTATATTCAACGGTTCTACTAAAACAGGGGTGTCCAACGGTCGGTAAGTTTAAAATGTGTGCTGGCTGGGGAATTCTGGGCGTTGAAGTCCACACATCTTAAAAGTTGCAAGGTTGGGACATCCCTGAACTGTACTAAATAATAAAGAAACTAACAAATAACAATAACACAGAGACACTACATCAGGGAAACAAAAAATAAATAAAATATCTTGTGCAAATTCACAAATTACTGGGGGTCTAAGGTCTGGTGGAAGAGCTGGGTTTTGGGTTTTTTTTAGTTTTCCTTAAAAAAAAACCCAACCACCAAACAAACGAACACCCCAGCACATCTTATACATTTTGTCTACAAAAAATGAACCACAACATGATATGATACTTTGTTTTACCTTGGCCTATTAGAAAAACTCAACTACAGCAGCCTGTAAATCATACTTTATGATTTAGTATCTTGGATGGATTTAGCCAGTGCAAAGAAACAAAGGCTCTAAATTTTAAAAACAGTGCGATGAGATGAGAACCAAGCTCAGAGCTACAATAAAATGCCTTATTTCCAAAAATGTATAGCACCCCGAAATCAGCTCACAATTACGGGTCAAAATCCCAGGGAAAAGGATTATCATTCCCAAAATTTGATGCCACTATATACCTCAATTGTGGTTGTTTCATTGCAAATCCCCACTGGTTTGGCTGCCACAATCTCATATAATTATCTCCTACCAACAGGGCAATTTACACT